TTTTAATTGACACAAAAATAAATAATAAAAATATAAATTTTAATTGATTCGAAAGAGAATTATAATCGGTGCTAATAACTCGGGTAAAGTTCAAATCGACTCAAATTTTAATATGTAAAAAATAAATTTTAATAGGCTCGAACTTTAATGAGTTAAAAAAATAAAATTTATTCAGCTTCAATTGAATTTTAATTGGTTCAAATTTTAATTTTAGAAAAATAAATTTTAATTGGTTCAATTTTAATAAAATTTTATATAAAAAAATTACTTTAGGTTTATGTAGTGGCATTTTTTGGTATTTTAGATGAATTTTTATATTAGAAATGGTAGTTTAATGGTAAGGAGTGTTAGTGATATTTAATATAAACTAAAAGAGATGTCAGTGATATTTTTGATAATACAGAAGATGTCCTTAAAAATATAGTAAAATAGAAGGAGTGTGGCTAAAATTTTCCCTTGTCGGCTTCAAAACTATATGTGGAGCTTTTGCCTCTTAGGGTTCCTCTAGGGATGGACGTTGGTCTCAGGCTTATGCGGTTAATGTTGTCGTACACGGCCTCATAAGAAAAGAATGCAAAAATGTTTTGAGCTTCTAGTCTTTGACAAAAAGAAATAAATTTTGAAAATTTTCTCTTAGCTAATATGCTTTTTTATATTTTTGAATTATATGAATTGTTTTACTTTACCTTAACACGTTGATAATTTTCATTCGACGGGATAGGGACATTTATGTTTAAGGTAATGTGAAATGATTCAAGTTTAAGGTAATGTGAAATGATTCGAGTAGTTAAGAAAAAAAAATCACTAGTTCAAGGCAAAGTAAAATCAAATTCCTAGTTAAGGGGTTAAAGTATAATTTTTTTATATTATTTTAGTTTTCTTTAATTTGAATAGATAAATTACTTTTTCTGGTATGAGAATTGATTTTATGACCACATCAAATTTATGAGGGACAAACGGAATGGCTTCAGTGTCGGTAAACATTTTTTTGTTGGGCTCAGTCTCGCTCCTTTTAATTGTCCTGAGAAAAAGGAAAACGAGAGATCAAGTGGGAAGACAGTGATTTTGTGATGAGCCCAAATTTAATTGGGTTAGCCAATAAATCAAGTAAGTTCAAATCAACTAAAAGGCAAAACGAGAGATCAAGTGGGAAGACAGTGATTTTGTGATGAGTCCAAATTTAATTGAGTTAGCTAATAAATCAAGTAAGTTTAAATCAGTTAAAAGGCAGGGTAAACTCAGCTCGTGAATTCGACCCAACTCAAGATCCAAAAAGTTTAAGAAGATTACAACACGTGGGGAGCAATTATCGGGATACTCACTCTCGAAGATCAAGATAACATTTAATTGTACTTACCTTTTATAACTACCCGAAAAGTTAGTACATTTACTCTCACGTCACCGCCTCAATTTAAGGCTATGTGCCTATAAATTATAAACTCTCCCTACATAAGAAGACATCTATCTCTACACCTCTCTACACACCTTAAACATAACTTTTCTCTTTTCTAGTTATTGTATTTCTCCTGGACGGTCCACCGTTGCCATTTCTCGAAGTGGATATATCAGTGTGTTGACCGGATATTTACATTACTATCATTGATTGCTCTATTAATTGTCCAATAACTACACTTTATCACACATTCGATTGTTGATCTTGCACGCAACTATTTTGTGTATCATCAATTTGTGTTCAAATTGTATTGTGTTGTATTGTAATATATTAAAATTTACTGAATGCATATATAATTTTTTGATCAACTTATATCATATCCACCAAATTAATATTTCATCAATTTAACCTTTAACATTAATTGAACCTTTATTTTTTTGGTAACATTTAATTTCATCAATTTATATTTCGAAAAGAACAAAATGTCAAATGTTAACTTTATGTTAATTTTGTCAATTTAATGTTAATTTAATAAAATTGAAGGTCAATTTAATGTTTTTTTTTAAGAATTGAATGTTAGTTGGATAAAATTAAAAATTAATTTCATAAAATTACATGTCAATTTTAATGTAATTGAATATAAGATTGGGACCAGTCAAAAAATAAAAAGATCAACTAGTCATGATCGATCCTATCTAATTGGAACCTCCAGAAAATTTGTTTGGAAAAATTTTTGAACCATCAAATGCATTAACATCGATCTCATATGGTCATGATCAATCCTAATTCAAAAAAAAAAAATTGGTTTCCTAGAATATTTGGATATATCATAGGCAATGGGATCAATCCTAAATAATCATGATCGATCATAACTATTAAAGTGAAGTTACATCCTGTAATTTAAAGTTATTATTTACAAAGACAAAGTTATAAATCTTGATGTAAAGTTATTTCATTTTAAGGTAAAGTTATTACCTTCAAAGATAAGGTTATAACTATTTATAATTAAATTACAGCTTGTAGAGATAAAATTATCACTTTTAGAGGTGAGATTATAATTTCTTGAGGAAAGATTGTAATCTTTTAAGGTAAAACTAGGGGTGTTTCCCCCTATCCTACGGGTAGGAAATATAGTATTTCGTCTTTCTACCCGATTCTTTGCAGAAGAATTTTTTCTTGACCTACTCTACCCGATCAGGTGTGGTATTCCTACCCAACTTTCAACCCTATTAATCAGATAGGAAGTCGGGTAAACACTTTTGTAGTTATTAATTTTTGGATAATTTTAATAATTCAATTAAATAACATGCACCAATTTAACAACACAATAAATCAATAACACTAAAATCTAAAATAATTACAACAACAATTACAATAAAACACAAGAAGGCATGAACATCAATCTATCATAATTTTTACACAAATATAATAATAATTATTTTAAGTTTAAACCATATGAAACACATTAAAATAATAACTACTCCATTAGATTACCAGTTTATCACAAATCATATAACCTATATAAAAAACAAGTTCATGTTTTAACAACTCAAACATCCACAACAATAACAATATTATAATTATTTCATACAAATACTCTTATAATTATTAAAAAAATATAAAAAAGTTAAATATATTTTTGCGGGTATGACAGGGCAAGAATGTGAAAATTGATAAATATTCCGCATTCCTACCCGATTTAATTAAAAGACCAAAAACTCTTATGTATTCCTACCCGATTTTTGCGGTTAGTCGTTCAGTAGAGTAGGATAGAATCGAATAGGGTAAGAAATTGCGGTCAATCAAAAATTTGACCACCCCTAGGTAAAACTACTATCTTTGGAGGTGAGGGTATTACAATTTGAGATTAAATTATAATGTAAAATTATAACATTTAAATGCGAGGTACACGTTTTTTAGGTAAGGTTACAACTGTTTGAAATAAAATTATCATTTTTGAAAGTGAGGTTATAATCATTTGAGACTAAGTTACAATCTATAGAGGTAAAATTATCAACTTTAGAGGTTAAATTACAACATTTTTATGTGAGATTATAACTATTTATGATAAAATTACTATCTTTAGTTGCGAAGTTATAACTATTTAATGTTAGATTACAAGTACTAGAGACAAAATTATCACCTCAAGATGTGACATGAAATTAAAATCTCTAAGCTTGGACTTACATCTTTTTAAGGTAATGATATCACATTTAGATACAAAATTTTAATCAAATAAAATTATAACCTTTAAAGAAAAAACAATATATAGCTATAATATAAAATATAATAAATTTTAATAATTAGTTTATTCGACAGTTTCAAATAAACTCATTTAATAATCAATAATATTTTTTTTAAAATTATTCACATTATATCGTATTTTCATACACAAATATTCCTATAAACTTTTATAGGCGAAACGGTCACTGAGTAAATATTTAATTACAAAAATTTGACAACCATATATTTATTACGGTATAGAACCAGCATTTTGATTGGTACCAAAGCCTTTCCCATTATATCGTCAGTACCATAAGTAGATAATTTTTTTGCAGCATGGTCATCGGATTGACAAAATAGATAAGACTCACTATATTTAAATCCGAACTCTCTAATTTTATATTATTTTTTTTTTGTCGAATTCGAGAGTTGTGACCAGTTCTACATGCCCAACTCCAAATAATCTCTCTCTACATGCCTAAAAATTCAACATGGCCCCATTTGCCATTAAGCATTTAGAATTTTCAAAATCAAAGCTGCTGATGCACATTGAAGACTGATACACCAATTCTTGCTTAGACATGAATGCTGTATAATCAACCATTCATAAGGTCCATGCATTAAAGAACCATGTTAATTCTAGAAGAGATAAGGAGTTATACAATTCAATTCTGATACATATATGCAATTGAATTCGACCTTTTATCCGCCGGTTGAATAGCGTAGTAAGGTTAAAGACGCAATTAGAAGAGTTATTCATGCTCTTGGTATAAGTTTTTACTTTTCCATTTTTATAAGCGAAAATATGCAACCAAGACAGACTAATTTCACTCATTTAATTTGATGAAACACCAAACCAGGGAATAATGTTTTAACTTACTTTAATCTATTCAATTAAGGCTAATAATTGAGTCGAATTTTTCGAGTATGAGCCGAACTTGTCGAGCTCGTTTTTATAAACGAGTCTAAAAAATTGTTCAAGTTACCGAGTAGCTCGATTATTTTATATATAAACGAGTCGAGCCTTTTAGTTTCGTTTTTTAAACGTATCTAAAAAATTGTCGAACTTGAGTCGAGTTCTATCCAAACCAAACCCGAACAGAGTTGGAATAGCTCAGCTCAATTATCAAGCATACATGCAACTTATTCCACCAATATGGATTGAATTGGAGTGGCTCCGCACATATTCTGCCATCTGAAACACACCCAAGTCTTCATTTACTAAGATATTTCATACTTACAAGTCCCACTGGCCCTCTGGAGGCCCCAAGTCTTCGGAGAGAGACAGTTGACTTGGCCTTTCATGCATACAATTCCCACATACTTTTCAGCTACAATTTAGAAACACCCAACAATAAATAGTCCAATCCTACCAAATCACTAAATGGAACAAATTATTGAAGAAAAGCAATGCTTGGGAGCTGAAGTTTTTGTTAGATTATTCCTGGATGAGATATCTCAGATTTTGAAGATGTTGGACCTCAAACACATACTCTTCTTATCAGCTCTGTTTTTGATGACTTGTTTTGAGGAGGGATGGATATGCTCTGCAGCTAGACTGGCTCAAGATGAAGGTATGAAGAGAGACTATTTGTTTCTTAATTGTGAGTAATTTTTATTGATCATCTATACCTCTCAATTGATTGTTATTAAAGGACTGACATTCCTAATCCCGGCTATCGCATAAAAGTTTGATTATATTGCAGAACACTCCAGTTTATACAAGGTTTAAAAGAGATAAGTGATATATAATCTTACATTCATTTAGAAGAGATTGATTCGCGTACAGCTCTTGCTCATAATAGGGTGTTGGAGATGTACATGATGGGCAGTTTTATCCTATCCCCAATCGAGAGAGACTAATTTTTGGATTCGAACTCCTGATACATCGCTTGGACTGATAAACACTCGTCTTCTATCCTAACTTGACATCTTAACCTTGATCTTACATATTGTTAGCCTCCAAGTTTTTGCAAAATGGATACTCCTTGCTTGGAATTGGTGTGAGAGTAGTTCTTGTGGAGATTAATATTAGATAGTTCTGTAACTGTTCCATAAGTTTTCACTTGTTTGCTGGTCTTTTGTCATTTAATTATACAAAATATCTTGGGCAGGGACTTCACAACTAGGATTTGAGCTTGAAAGTAGAGAGTATATATAGAACATAATAGCATGTATATCCATTTGCATGGAATAGTTATTGAACACACCACTGTCAAGATTTTTTTTTCTTTTCTAGTCAAGCACTATTACAGTGAGGAGACGATGAACTTCGAACTTACGATTTTAAGTTTCAACAGCGAGGAGCGGTAACCATTAGGCAAACCGCTAACCTCTACCTGCTAAGATTATTAACAGCAAAAATGAATACAAGAGGGACTAACTTGGATACTTCGAATTTGACCGATATAGTTCTGTTGATCCAAATTTAGAGGGTCCATAATAGACCCTACATGAAATCGATGCAATGTTACAGGATATGAATTTAGCTTTAGTGGTTTGGATTAAATCTGGACTTAACTATGAAACATGGTTAATAAGTGGATTGTCATGAATCTAGTTAGACATGTACAAACTTCACTATAAATAATTTGTCACGACACACATAATCATATAAACCCTAGCATTGAAACTTGTCGGAGAGGTGTCGTGACAGTGTTAGACGCATTCCAACCCGAACAAATGTCTGAAACGACTAGAAGTATCATGGATAGTGAATTTAGTTAGACACAACTAGGATACACCAAGAATTTTTTGTTTTTTTTAATCTCATTACGGTTAACTATTGAGAGGGGTGGAAGATTTCTTTATTTTATTTTATTTTTATTTTTATTTTTTTATATCACTTATGAATTATGAATGTTAATAGATATAATAATATGTTTAGAAAAAATGATGGATATTTATTTTGATTTATTTTAATTTTTATCAAGATATTAATATTTACTAGATCTTATTATTAATATTGTAAAAAAAATATGTTTTATCTTTAATATATTATAGTTTTATTATTATTTAAAAAATACATAATATTATTTTATTTAGTTGTATGAAGTAGAAAAATAAGAGTAGGAAGCCTCACTCTTTACCTTGTGATCTTACCTTCGTCCTCTCCCTGACGGTATAAATTCTATAAGAAACTTATAACCAGTCAATCATATGAAAAATTATACTTTAACCTCTCAATTATTACGCTTGTCCCACATTGTCACCTCACTTATAATATTTATTACATTGCATCTCCAACTAAGATTACTAAATTCACACTATCTCTCCATTATCACGTTTTTAAATTCACACCACCTCTTAACTATCACGTTTTTACATTATTCCTTGAGTGGTTTGACAATAGTTTAAGGGGGAATTTTACTCTGCACCCTAAAAAAATTAAGCTTTATCACCTTTATACCCTCAAAGATGAGATTTGTCATATTATACCCTTAATATATTAAAAGTCTTGTAATATGACCCTTATGCTATATTCTATTACTTGTTTCGTCAAAGCTTATCCTATTGACATTGACGGAATGAATAACAAAAACTAATGGAATAGTTATGTTCTAATTCTTTTGATACTTTATGGATACAATATGAAAAATTTAATATTTGAAAGTGAAAGATGAAAATTCTTAGTTTAATTCACCCTTGAGTTTAATTGTAGAAATAAAAATGTTTGTGCAAAACAAAATGAATGTTTGCTTTTAATTTAATTTGAAATGAATAAACTATATAAATGACTCTTAAACTATGACTCTTGTGTCATTTAAATCCTTAAACTAATTTTCGTGTCAATTGAACATTTAAACTTTAAAATTTTAATAATTAAATCCTGAACTAATTTTTGTATCAATTGAACCCCTAAATTCTACAATACTAGCAATTAGTCCCTTATGTCAACAGTTGTTAGGTTTTTAGACGGAATGTTTCCTGTGCTCACTACATAAACAATAAATTAGAATTATTTTAATCTATTCGTTCAAAACTCATTAGACGAAGAACTTCACTCCTTATACCCTTTAGCTAAAACCCTAAACCTAAACTTCTTTCATACCCATTAAATAAAGTAAATCAGCAAACTCTTCGATCTAGTATAGAAAATAGATGACATAATGTAGGTCTTTTAAAGAGCTTACTGATCTACTTTGTTTGATGAGTATAAAAGAGGTTTAAGTTTAGGGACTCAATTGATAAGTATAAAAAATGAGGTTCTTTGTCTGATAAGTTTCGAATGAACAATATAAAATACCCTTAATCTATTGTCCATGGATGAGCACGTTCGATATTCTATCAAAAAACCTAATAATTGCAGATAGAATGGCTTAGTTACTAAATGTTAGAGTTTAGGGGTTTAATTGACACAAAAATTAGTTCAAGGGCTTAATTGATAAAATCTAAAAATTTAGGGGCTCAATAGACACGAAAATTAGTTTAAAGGTATAATTGACACAAGGGTCATAGTTGAAATGGTCAATTTTGGTAATTTACTCATTTAAGTAGTTGAAGGTTCAATATAAGAGATTTAATAGTTGAGGGGCAAAGTGGGATTGGGCCACACCTGAGGGATTGAAAATGTAATTTATCCTCTCCTACAATTTACCCCTTATTAAGATGTCTGAAAAGTGATGCTCTTTGTGTGTTTGTGCATCTGATTCAGTGGATGCTCTCAGTGAAATCATGACCAAAATGGGATCTACTTTCTGGAAGTTCAACCCAGAATCATGCAAGGTGGAAATGGTGGGTGTAACACTGGAGATGCCAGAGAAATCCAAGGCCAACGTTTCTTGTAATTGTGAATACGCGAACAATACTCTATGCCACGTTCAAAGAATGTATGCTTCCTATTTTCTCTCTCTCAAAATATGTACATACTAACAATAATCCCATGTCCAAAGAGACTATGCAATATTAAAAATTGAGGTTCAACGGGTAACATTTGTGTCCAACTGTTAATTAAATCCCTAAATTTTTTTTTGTGTTAATTGAACACAAAAAGGCGTAATTGACCCAAAAAAAAAAAGTTTAGGGACTTAATTATCATAGTTGAAGAGTTATGTATATAATTTACTCTTACCATTCGTGTCTATTTGTATCATGTGAGTGGCACACTTTGTCAATTTCGATTAGAAAATCTAATGGAGACTGATAAAAAGGCTCAATTGATATAATTAAAGAGTTTAGTGGCTCAATTGACACAAAAAAAAAGTTTTTTAGCTTAATTGACACAAGAGTCATAATTTGAAGATTATATGTGTAATTTATTCTTTATATTTTAATAGCAATTTATTTTTTTGAATTGTATAATTTAAAATTAAAATGAAAAGAGAGCAAAGAGAAAGAGAAGAGAGGAGTAGATGTGAGTAATGAAGTTGTCCAACATTGGGGTCTGTGCAAAGAATGTGATGTTTTTTTGTAGAAAATAAAAATTTGGTGATGAATTTTGTAACATTAGATTAAAATTGGATCATTCTTGACCGTTGTTGTATTTGTATAAGTTGAGAATTCAACTTTCTAAATGTAGTATTCGATATATGTTCATATGTGTTTGCTAATTATGCTTGGATTGATAAACAAAAAAGACTTTTCCCAGCTGCCATTGCATTTTTTTTTTGATTGATTGCAACCATGGTATCCCACTGTGGAGAGGGGAGGAACTAGGAAGGAGCTAAATTTCATTTCATTTCCACTAAAACGACTGAAATATTTGTTGAACACAGGAATTCTTATATTTCCATGTGCTTTTAGCTGTTTTGATGTGTTTCAACTTATGCTTTGAAATGTTTTGGCAATAAATTTTTAGAATTTTCTATTTGCATCCAGATTAGTGAGGATTCTTACCAACTTCAATAGGGACTCAGATTTTATTACATCGAAAATTTATTGCCTGATTATTACCTTCATGCTTAATGTTAAGTGGCCTAAACAAGGCAATCATGCTTGTTTTAAGTAACTTTTGGCTTGGCTAAACTTGATCAAGTTTATGAATTAATTGAGGCAGGTTATGCAACCCACAGTTCCTTGACATGCATTCTGTGATTCGCTACAAAAACCTGTATGTAATAGAATTTTAACCATAGAATATGACCCTAATCAAAATGCATACAATACCTAGGAATGGTGAGAGATCTCAAAGGGGTTGTAAGTAGAGATACCATTGTTTCTGGTATGGAAAATGCCCAGTCTTCACTTTTATTTGGATTGATTAATTGGATAAAGCCTATTCAATCATAAAACTAGCCACCTTTATTATATCAGAGTATTCTTAACTCATTCTTAGTTCAAGCCTTTTATTTTGAAAATGGGCAATCCCTAATAGATTGATGTTATCGCTTGACAAAGTTATAAATAATGTCTAGGAGAGCAAGTCTAAATTGTTTAAGGATTATATGTTGCTAATGCTAATACAATAAAGGAGATTTTCAATTCATGGGGGGAGGATCGCCCCTGTCCGTATCCACGAGATCCATCACTGCACGAACTTATCATTTTATTGCTAAGTTTTTCACCTTTACTTAATTTTCATGCAACAATGACTTAAAATTTATGTTTCCATTCTTTTTTTCGTTTTATTACTATTGGAGACATAGCAGTAGTCTAGTTTATTAGGGCTTATTAAATTTTCTCTTTTTCACTCATATTCATCTCAAGTTGGTATTAGATCCACCAACTCTAACCCTAACTCTAACTCTAGCCTCTGCCAAACCTCCACTCCATTAAACCAGCAACTCCACCAACCAGTACACAGTCAGCCCATCATCCACTGACTACCGACTGCCTCCACTCCATTAAACCAGCAGCTCCACTGACATCCACATAAACCAACTCCCCATACAACCGAAAAACCCAACCGATCGAAAAAAACCCAGCCAACTGATTACACAGTTAGCCCATCATCCACCGACTGCCGACTACCGACTGCCAACTGTGTCCACTCCATTAAACCAGCAGCTCCACCAACAGCCCATAACAAACAAGCAGCCCACTGCCCAGTCCATAACAAACAAACAGCCCACTGCCTAGTCCCAAGTCCCAAGTCCACTGCCCCACCGATAGAACCCAGCCAAAAACACCACCGACTGCCTACCAAAACCACCAACAACCAACAAAACCAACTGCCTCCAACCAATATACATACAACACCGACTATTCTTTGATCAATATAACTCATAACCCATAACCCAGCCCACCTCAATTCGCCGACCCACTGCCCAGTCCAACCCAAACCAAACCTAGACCAGCCCCAAACCAGCCCACTCATCAACCCACTATCGGGTCACGTGTTTCTTTTCGTCACAGTGTCGCTATTTTTTCGCGCCACCTTTTTTTCTAGAGTTGCAATATCTAGGCCTTTTTGAGGAGGCACCAGATCCTTTTCTCCGTTGATCTGCTTTTAATGCAGTAGATCACTTATATATTTTCTGGATTTTTGGGCACCATAACTTGATTATTTTGGAGCTTTCTAGATGTTCTTTATGTGTTGCTATTGTTTGACTTGAGGTATATTGTTCTCCCTTATTTTATCCTTCTATTTATCTTAGAGTTATTTTTTTCCTGTCACGGGTGCCCACGTATTATTGTTGCCATGGCTACTACTGAGCGACTAGAGATTCCTACCGTAGAGACCTCTACTATTGAGGCTTCTATTAGTACTTCTACAGGGCATGTACCGCCTGCTTCTCCTACTTTTATGTTTGACTAGTACACAGTACCTACTGGCACAGTTACTTTACTAGCAATGCCGGGAATGATCTCTCAGAAGGTTACGACACATTTGTTGAATGGTTGTAACTTTGCTGAGTGGTCACGTTCATTCCAGCTTTTCTTGGGGCGTGTAGAGAAACTTGGTTGGCTGACGGGATCTCACCCAAAACCAGCTGATGCCGACCCTGGATATTCTGTGTGATTCTCTGACAACTACACCATTCTTGGATGGTTATTTGGCTCGATGGAGCTATCTGTTTGTAGGATACACCAGTTTCATAGCTCTGTTTTGAAATTATGGAGCGCATTATAAGAGATGTATTCCTAATCAGGACGGGGAGTTCGTGTTTATGAGCTTTCTCAGGAGCTCTCATATGCTCGGTAGGGAGATATGACTGTTTAGGATTATTATGACTATTTGACCCAACGTTGGCTTGAGTATGAGACTCTACGTCCTCTTATTGCTATTCCGAGGATAGGCTTGAGGGATCAACATTCTTGCATACTCGAGAGCAGGAGGATAGGATTCACAAGTTTCTTATGGGGCTTATTGATGAGTTTGAGAGACCTCGTTTCCAGATCTTATTGATGTTGATGCTTCCTTCTCTTTATGAAGTATATGTGATGATTAAGCAGCATGAGCGCCGTGTCCCTATTGCATCACTTCAAGTTGGGGCCTTGACTCCTCTAGCTGATTATATGACCTTTGCAACAGCTGCAAGATCCTCAATCAGGGGTGGGTAGTGCTCGGACCAGCGCCGTCAGGGTGCCCCAGATCAGCGCAGACAAGGGGATTCTCGTCAGTATGATTATTGTGGCCGACCAAGACATCTCAAGGCTGCTTGCTGGAAGCTCTATCCAGAGCTTAAGCCGCCTCCTCGTGGCCGCACTGCTACAATTGTTGAGGTACCACTATCTACTACTACTACTCCTCCTTGGCAGAGTGATATGAATGCTATCACTTCCCGATTTGATATATTTATGTCTGCTCTGACTTCTCAGAGTCCGACTACTACTGTAGCCACCACTACAGGTATACCTTGTGCCTTTCATGCTTGTATCAGTCCGTCTTCCCTTTGGATGCTAGACTCGGGTGCGAATGATCACATGACAGGTGAGGCATATCACTTCACTACTTTTGACGAGCAATTACATACACAGGTTCAGTTAGCAGATGGGACACATGCCCTTATTGTTAGTAGGGGTACAGTCCGCCTCCCAGATGGCTTTACATTACGTTCAGTATTTCATGCGCTAAAGTTGGCCATGAATCTATTATCTGTACATCAGTTAGCCAGAGATTTTCACTATGCGATTGTGTTCTTATCTGATTCGTGTTATTTGCAAGACCTGAGTACTAGGAGGATTATTATCAGGGGATATGAGAGAGATGAACTATATTTTCTAGGTGATCCGCCTCTAGTTTCACCAGTTCCTCCACCTACATCACCTGCACATGCTTTATCTTTACCTGTTCCTAGCTTGCATGCTAGTATTTTACCTAGTAATTGTCATTATGATTTTTTGTCACAAACTATTCAGTTGTGGCATGACCGTTTTAGACATACAAATTTTAAATATTTATGTATGTTGTTTCCTGCTTTGAGCAATGCTTGGGTTGGTGGTAAACTTGACTATATTATCTATTCCCTATCAAAACATGTTAGGACCAGTTATATTTCTCTCATGCACCAGTCACCCAAGCTATTTGACCTAATACACTCTAATATTTGGGGACCCTCTCATGTTACTACTCTATCAGGTGTCCGATACTATGTGACATTTATAGATGACCATACCCGTTGTACTTGGGTCTACCTTTTGCATAGGAAGTCCGATGTATTCCCTATAATCACTCAATTTTTACAGATGATTAAGACATAATTTGATGTCATTGTTCGTGCTTTTCGGTCAGATAATGCTAAGGAATATGTGTTTGATGCCTTAATGTCTCACCTTTCTTCTCAAGGTATCTTTCAGCAACTCATTTGTCCATTTACTCATGAACAAAATGGCGTTGCTGAAAGGAAAAATAGGAGTCTGATAGGGATAATACGTTGTATGCTTAGAGGCATGGGGGTGTCAAAATCTTATTGACATTTTGCTATTTTGACTTCTACCTTTATGTGCAATCGTATGCTGAGTCATGTTCTTCAGTATAGGGCTCCCTTACAGGTTTTATTTCCTGAGCGAACACTTTTTTTAGTCCCCCCTTGTGTTTTTGGATGCACATGTTTTGTTCAGGATCGGTCTCCTACTCGTCATAAGCTTGATGATAAATTAATTCATTGTGTCTTTGTGGGCTATTGCAATCAGTTTAAGGGGTATCGGTGTTATGATCCTATTAGGCGTCGTATGTATCACAGTCTAGATGTTACCTTTCTTGAGCATATTCCTTATTTTTCTTCCAGTCTTGTGTCTGCCCCTCTAGTTGATGATACTTCCTTTGATTTTTCATTACCCCCGGAGCCAGAGCTATTGGTCACTATCACTATAGAGTCATCGGTCTCTCCTTCTCTAGAGCCACTCATCCCTGGTACCGAGTCACCAGCCTCTCTTCCTTTGTAGGTTTATGTTCGTCGTCCTCACTCTCACCCCCCTGCTGATGTCCTCTCTACCCCAAGCGATGCAGGTAATACTTCTCAGTTTGTTGAGCATATTGTTGCACCTGTTGTTAGTACTGATGAGATTGTAGGTACTGAACCAGTTATTTTACCTGATGAGACATTGTCAGTGGAGGATGATGATTTAGAGTATCATTATCTGTAGTGTGATCGTCGTCAAGTTGTTCGTTATGGTTGGACTGCCAAGATTTTATACTCGATCTCTGCTTATGTTTTTTATGGTGATCTGTCTCCTACATTTCGGGCTTATAGAATGGCCTTATTAGATACGCCGGTTTCTCGTTCTATTTCAGAGGCTATGCAAGAGTCCTAGTGGGTTCTTGCCATACAGACAGAGATGGACGCTCTTTAGCGTAATCATACGTAGGATCTTGTCTCTTTACCTTCAGGGGTGAAGCCTATTGGCTGTCGCTGGGTTTACACCCTGAAGTTTCTTGCAGATGGTACTATTGATCATCACAAGGCTAGGCTTGTAGCGAATGGCTTTACTCAGGTATTAGGTCGTGATTTTAGTGCTACCTTTGCCCCCGTGGCAAAATTGACTACTATTCAACTGATTATTTCTCTAGCTGCGGAGTACTCTTGGCCTCTTCATCAATTGAATATGAAGAATGCATTTCTTCACGGTGATCTGGACGAGATTATTTATATGGATGTACAACCGGACTTTCGTGGTGAGGGGGAGTATGCTGGAAAGGTATGTCAATTACGTAAGTCTCTTTATGGATTGAAACACCACGAGCTTGGTTCTCTCGCTTTAGTGATGTAGTTGTACGTTTAGGGTTCACTAGATGTCATTCTGATTATACCTGCTTCATTCGACGGAATATTTATGGACAGTGTGTCATCCTTTTGGTATATGGTGATGATATTATTATTACTGGAGATGATGTTTCTGGGACTGCGCAGGTCAAGGTAGACCTTGGGAAGACCTTCGATGTGAAAGATCTTGGATTTTTGCGATACTTTCTTGGAATTGAGGTTGTCCGTAGCAGCAGAGGTATTATTCTTTCTCAGAGAAAGTATGTTTTGGATCTTCTCTCAGACATTGGGATGCTAGGATGCAAACCGACATCATTACCCATAATTTTAAACCTGAAACTTACTGCTGAAAGTGAGGAGTTGAGAGATCCGTCTGTCTATCAGAGGTTGGTAGGTAGACTTGTTTACCTAGCCAACACTAGGCCAAACATTTCTTTCGCTATCAACCTAATTAGTCAGTTAATGCACAGACTATGTCAGCCTCATCTTGATGCAGTTTATCATATTCTTCGGTACCTCAAGTCTTGTTCTAGACTTGGGTTGTTCTATGCATCAGAATCTCAGATTGGTTTTCTAGCCTGTTATTCACATTCAGATTATGGGGGAACATGTGATGGTCAATTTACTACAGATTTCTGTGTTTTTCGAGGGACTCATCTTATCTCTTGAAAGAGCAAGAAGCAGTCAGTTGTCTCTCGCTCGTCAGTAGAGGCAGAGTATCGGGCACTGACACTTGTCACTTGACACATGTGAGATAATTTGGCTACGATCGATTCTTGGCGAGTTGGAATTTTCAGTAACTTCTTCATCTACATTATATTGTGATAATCGATCTGTTATTCAATTTGCTTTTGACTCTGTATTACACGAGAGGACGAAGTATATAGAGATCGATGTTCACTTTTTTCGGGAGAAGGTTAGCAGTGGTATTGTCACTTCATTGTTTGTGAGGACCAGTGATCAGGTTGCAGATATTTTTACCAAACTTGTCACTCTATTCATTCTTCGAGACTCTGTTGTCAAGCTTGACTTAGTTGACATTTTTGCGCCTAGCTTGAGGGAGAGTGTTGGAGATATAGCAGCAACCTAATTTATTATGACTTATTAAGTTTTCTCTTTTTCACTCACATTCATCTCAAGTATTACTACTCATAAGGACCCTCAAAATATGTATCACTTTGCAGAGAGATGAAGTTTCTCAGTCTTCCAGGAGTGCTTCCACCCGAACTTGTTAGGCTCCCTTACCTCCAATCAATGTGAGTGATAGCCTCTACTAAATACATGGACATATAAAAAGCATGCATGCATACACGTATATGTGTGTACACGGCACAATCACTGTCTCTCTCTTGCACCCACCCTTATGTCTCAAAGGAAATACTGCATACCATTAGGTGATCTTGCATGTCAAGGATTTATCAAAGAGGCCATATAGACATTTTTATATTCATATATGCTAATAAGATATGCCACTGTTTGATCCTGAATCAAATATCTTGTGAGGGTAACGCATTTGAGTATGACTGGCTGTCAATACAACTGAGGAGAAACAAAGAAAAAAGTTTGCATTTTCAATTTCTGCTGTTTGATTTTATAGAAGTAATTGTACATGGCTTCATAAGTGCAATATAAGGTTTTAGTTTTTCTTTTCTTCGCCTTTCTTGGCAACCAAACAATTTGAGCGGCGAACTATAAGTTTTGAGAATGGGTTACTTTGATTTGCAGTGATTTTGCCTACAACTATCTGAATGGTACAATACCTGTGGAATGGACTTCCATACAATTGACGAATATGTAAGCCATTAGGAATCTGGGATCTGTACCTCGTTTATTATACCATTGTTTTATTCTGCCTACAATCGTAAATTATGCAGTTATCCAAGATATGTTTATGCAGTTCCCTTCTTGGAAATCGCTTGTCTGGGGAAATCCCAAAGGCATTGGGGAATTTTTCCAGTCTCATGTACTTGTAAGCTCTGTACTATTTTTTGCACACCATTTTATGTCAAGCTCTGTAATGCTGATATATATGCATGAGTTCCACTCTGGTTTGGATAATACATGTTACATGTGATATCAGCCCTTGATTTAATGATAAAACATCGACACTTGAACTCAATTGCCTTGCAACTATACTGGTCCCTCTTATACAATGCACATGCCTTGGTAGACCTTAAAAAAGGATGGGTTTATTATACTTCCACCAGATCAGATTTAGACACAAGTGTACAATTTTGTGTTTGCCTATGTGTGCTCATTTGTTTCCATGCATGGCGATTTGTTCAATTGACAATCTCAGCAAAATCTTTAAAACAGGAACCTTGAAGTAAACCGCTTTTCTGGTTCAATTCCTCCGGAGCTTGGGAAATTAGTTAACTTGGATACTTTGTAAGACATTTGATGACTTCATATTTAGATTCTTTTCTTATTGAATCTTGTTTCCAAAGTTGCTTTAGCTCTGAAGGATGAGAAAACAACATATATTTCCTGGAGACATTTTTCATTGCAGGATTCTCTCTTCCAATCAGCTTAGTGGAGATTTGCCAATAGAACTGGCCAGGCTTGAAAAGTTGACAGATTTGTAAGTGTTCTACAATAACGCAGTGTACTTCATGTGAATGTTCCAATAATGTAGCAATTAGCATTGACACCATTTAGTTGAATATTGCAGTAGGATAAATGACAACTTCTTTAGTGGAACAATACCAGATTTTATACAGAACTGGAAGCAGATGGGAAGACTGTAAGACCCTCGTTGTCTAAATATTTTAGTGTGCCTATAGTTTTGAGACCAAAGGAACATCCATTATGGCTAGTCTACTACTTTTGATTGCTGTTATACTATTGAGTTGATGCAGAGAAATGCATGGGAGTGGACTAAAAGGACCCATTCCATTGTCCATTTCTTCTTTGCAAGGACTGATTGAGTTGTAAGTATGAAATTTTTAGTCATCTTAAAAAGTGGTATTTGGATGGTTTATAAGTTTGTTTGTTTCTTATATTTATATTGAGTGTGTATGAACATTCTGCTTATATTGGCACTTACATGAACAGGAGGATTAGTGACATTAACAATACCAATCAGCCTTTTCCTATGCTGGATAACATGGCAGGCCTGACACGATTGTATGTTGAATGTTTTTCTTTGGGAATATTTATGAAGGCATGCTGGTACGTTAAAATTATTTCTCATAACTGACTCGGTATTTCTTTTTCAACTGGATTCAGAGTTTTGAGGAATTGTAATATCTCTGGAGTGATCCCACCATACGTCTGGAGCTTCAATAAATTGCGAGTGCTGTAAGTACTGCATACGTTGATGAATTCTTGGGGAATGAATTTTTCTGTTGGTTTGTCAGTCCATCTGTATGTGTTTATATGGGAAATTTAGAACCAGATTTCTAGTTAACATTCCTGAAATTATCTAAATCAGTAACTCTATATTTATATGCCACAAACTTATTGACTTCGTGCTGGTTTCTTCGTGTTGGTTTTGATACACATGTAATCAGTAATGATCATAGATGATGGGAAAAAGAAAAAAAAAAGCAAGGAGCAACTTCAACGTCATGGAAGAATTGAATTCCGAAGTGTATATGATGCAAGAAAGTAAATTGCAGAATAGAATACTGTCATATGACGAACGATCAAAGCACCATTTGAAGCATGACTGAAACATATTTCACCCTAAATTATCAAGTATTTGAAAAGGATAATTAAAGTTACTTTAAGGACCATACAAAAAGGCCATTGCAAGAAGTGGTACTCATTTTAGGACGTGACCTTGTTGTCATACCGGTTATGAAGAGAATAAATAGGTTATAAGTTATAACTGGGAAAGAATAAAAAAATTGAACAGGACAAAAGGAGCGAAAAAAAAAAACGTGCAGGAGATTTGGTGCTTTGTAAGGAATGATAACTTCTCTAACATATTGGAAGAGGAAGAGTTTATCATCTCAATTCTTCGATTATCTCAAAGCTAGAAATGCCTCGTGAACTTCGGGAAGTGCTCTTGATTTGTAATAGAATGTTGCTGCAAATAAGTAAAGCATTAGAGCTTTTGTTCTTTCTTTCTTAAAAATTCCTAATGTCTCTTTCTCCAAATAACTAAGAAGATTTAGGTGTCCAATTGAGATAAGGAGCAGAAGACTACCTAAACAATAATAGGTTGGAAAATTGTTGTAAAGTTCAAAACCCAGTTGTTCCTTATTAAAACTGTAGTTAGATGCATGGAATTCTTAAATATATTTAGAAAGGAAAATAAATAATCTGCATTACGTCACTAGGATTCAGTGTTGAAAAGAAAGGCACCATCTCTATTGAGAGTGATAAGTTTGTTTGGCGATGCATCAAAAAAAGTTTGGTTTCTTAGAAGTGCTTCTTTGCCTTTCGAAAGATTGTTAGCACATGATTTAACAAGACAGGTCATTCCCAAGTGTTGGTCCCGCCAATGCTAGCTGCTGGAAGCAAAAAGCCAATGCTAGCTGCTGGAAGCAAAAACAGGTCGAACTTTGACATAGTTGCCCAAAGTAGGTGCTTGAACTTCTGAATTCATGTGTTCAAGCTTTGACAGAAGGAGGTTCTACTGTTGCACCAAACAATGACATCTTAGCATCACATTCTTCATGTGAAATCAAAATGCTAGCTACATGTACCCAATTTGAGCCGAGTTTTGTTTATTTTAGCATATGATATATGTAGGACACATTCCGCTTGACAAGAAACATGTTCGATATGTTTTCATCTTGGGCCGATTAATTTGGACAGTTACCTAAGATTGTCTATTTGCAGAGACGACGTGCTAATACTTAATATTCTCTTAAAATGTGTATGGTATGATTGACTATTTGTTTCTGAAGTATTTTATTATAGGGTAATTCTGGTTTTTCTGATGAGTTGGAAATTTCTGTAGCATTGATAATGGAGATCACATTTACATTATTTTAGAAGTTCCTATCAAGTACGAAGCTATCATATTTACTCCATTTGATAAAGATGACTGGGATTCCAGCTTAAACTACCAGGCCAAAAAGAATATTTTGATGATCGTACTGTGTCCTGAAGTTTTTGTGCATAATCTTTTTATATGAACGTTTCTTTTGCAATTATCAAATCATGTATCTATCCTGTCTGTTAATAAAATTAATGCTACCGTTTCTGAATTCTTTGGAAAAGTAAAATCCAGTCAGTTGCATGGGTTAAAAGTTAGTGAGTGGATGATTCAGCTTCATTGCCACCAGCTAACTTAGCTTGTTTTCTAATACTGCCTCATATATTTTGTAAACATCTACTAATCCCATTTTATCTTTTGGTAGTTTTTTGGTTAGATATTGTTGGAGCCAGAGATTGCAAAAGCCGGTTAACTCTAGTGCTTACATTGTATATTTAGAAATGTGTTCATGGTTGAATTTGCATTGTAGATTCTGGGAGATATGGTTGTGACTTATCTAATCTCATGTCTTGGACAGGGATCTCAGTTTTAACAAATTGACCGGACAACTTCCTGCTACCATCAGTACAAATAGTTTGAAATTTATGTAAGCCATATCAATATTTGGATTTATGAGGTATTAGTGATAAATTTATTTGCTATAACACTCATACAGCATCCTAAATGAGTGTTCTGGCTTTGCTTAGCTTTCTAAGTGGCAACCTGTTCAGTGGTAACGTGCCCAACTCAATGTTGAAGAAAGAAACTAATGTGTATGTTTCTTATCCTCGGTACTTGTTTTTACTTTTCTTTCATTGGGAAATAGACATACCTTATTTTTGTTATATCCTGTCCTTGTATGAAAGTGTCCTCATCTCTATATTTTGACAATATGAGTTATACTGTTATATTTTGAAGTTGATGAACTTTGTTTTCACTTAAATCCCCTACTCTTTCTTTCAAACCTTGACTATGAACCCAGACCAAAACCAACTCTAGGACGTTGAATTTAAGTAATCTCAAATTGTACAACCAATTGTAACATGTTGAGCTGAAAAAAAATACGACTAAACTTTAGGTTTCTTACCTTCTGGAATCGTTTTTTAGTTTCAGATGTCAGTTTTTAGCCCACCATGGTTGGATCACCACTGTATGTCTCTTATCCTTCTCTCGTACAACTCAACTCAACTAAACTGAGTCTTGTCCCGATTATTTTGGGGCCAGTTGTATAAATCATGTTTCAAAATTGTACTCTATCAAAGACCATGTTTTTAGATAAACAACCAAGGAACTAGATGTCGTTTCGGAATAGCAATCGAAACGTTTCTGTTTCTATGAAATCAAAACAAATTATTTGCATAATATGAAAATTCTTATGTTTCGTGGTGTTTTGGTATTTTTCGACGTTTTCGATATGTTTCACACCGGAAAGTTCGGATACAAGTACAATACGATATGGATACCGCGATACGACAAAACTCCAAAAAATAGGATACGGATACGGCCGGGATACGTCTATAAATATATATTTTATATTTTTATTATTATATAATGACTTTATAATTTTAGTTTTTAGTAATTCTTTAATAATAATAAACAACATTAACAATTTTTTGTTTTCAAAAATTACCTATTGTCTCACTATGGTACATCTACAAAGTGAATGTGATTAACTAAAAGAATAAGAACTAACATTTAACTATATTGTTTGCTTAGAAAATATTTGTTGCTAAAATTGTAAAGTAATCAACTCATTTATATTCTTTGGACATGTTATAATGGATAATACTTAGAAAGTAATGTTATGTGTCTTCCAAATCATATGAATTTTTGTTGGTGTATTGCATTGTATGTGAAATCAAAAGGAAGGGGTAAAGATTAAAAATAAAAATTACGCATACTTCCCTGCATATAGTAGGATCCATAAAGTATCCTCGAAATATCCATATATTTTATTTATTATTGAACACGTTTGGTGTATATCCGATACATATTTTTGAGTATCCGACAAATATCATATCCGATACGGATACGTCGACTTTAACGAAGTATCCGTGTTTCATAGGTTTTACACATGTTTCGATCAATGTTTCAGAAATAAATTTACAATTTTTTTTTTGTTTCTATCCTACTTTCAAAACTTTTCTATTTCCAAGCTGGCTAAAACGAAATTTTGATTCTTGTAAACAACAAATTATAATATTTTTTTACTATCTCATTTAAAATTAATTCCCGCATACCTATATCCTTTGCATTATCTTTTTTAGGTATCATATCATTTTTTCTCACCGTTGCAATAATATGCCAGTTGTAAACATGTCTAACCCATTTTAATGATTTATCTTTTATCGGTATTACTTCTATTGTATTGTAGATATATTCATTCATATAATTTTGTCCTTTTCGGTTTTACCACACATCCTTTTTAACATCCTCATTTCCACTCCATTTAGTTTTGGAGAATGTTGTGTCTTAATTGCCTAGCACTCCTTAGCATTGCTAGTCTAATAGCTGTCTAGTGAAAGATGTCTTTCATCTAAAGAAGTATACATTGATCACGTAATACACCCGAGGCATTCCTTCGCTTAATCCATCGTGCTTTAGTTTTATGATTGACATCGACTTCAATTTCTCCCTCCTTGTAGATAATTGACTCCTAATATCTGAAGTGATCACTCGTTTGTACTCTTGATCTTCGATTTTTACTACCACCCTATATGGAATTTTGATTACTTCCCATACATTCAATTTTGTTACTACTTATCTTAAATCTTTTTTGTTTCTGAAGCTTCTCTCCAATACTCCAATATATTGTCAAGTTCTGCTTTACTTTCATCAATCAATAATATGTCATTAGCAAACGATATACACTGTGGAACTTCATCCTCAATGAATCTAGTTCATCATCCTTAACCAAAGCAAAGAGATACGAACTTAAAGCTAAACTCTGATAGTCTGATGTAAGCTTAGAGTGATTGTGATTTCACTGTTGTATTCCAGAAGTAAATGAATATACCATAGAAAGAGCATCATTACTGAAAACCTATTTATCTGTTTTGTTTTTTTGCTTGCAGTGATCTTTCCTACAATAATCTCACATGGCAAAGCCCAGAGGACCCTGCTTGTCAAGGGTACGGCAGTTTTAGAAGAAACTATTCGCTTCTTTTTACTTCATTTTTCCCAATTTTATGCCCTACCTATAACTACTGATGTTTGTTTGCTTTTTGTTATTCGTCAAGAGGTCAAAACTTAAACTTGTATCGGAGCTTTTCAATGGAAAGCAACAAGTAAGTTTCTCTTCTTTGTTTTCCTGTAATTTCAGTTCAAGTAATCAAGTTACTCACCCCAAAAAAGAATATCATGTGTAATGAAACTGACCCCAAGGCACCAAAGAGAAGCTATTTTTCCTTTAAAGTTCCTCTCTGTCTTGTTTTCCTTTTTAATTTGGGATATGGTGCTGAAGGGATGAATGATTGAACCTGAAATTTGAAACCTTGTATGTTTTCCATCTGAACACATTTGCATTTCAAGGTTTTCCATATGAACACATTATCATGAAATGCATTTTGTGCTTGGTCACTGAACTTCATAACAAATTCCCTATTGTTTTTCATTTTTGCATTGACCAAACATGGCATGACGTTGATGCAATGCTAATTTGTCCTCTTTTTTACTACATCAGCAGCGGAATCCTTCCATGCATAAAAAAGGACCAATGTCCCCAATGTAAGTATGCTGTTGTGTAGTATATGCATATGAATCACCTTTTTCTGGTTCGAAATTTTGTTTTGTTGTTCTCTTTATATACAACTGATTGAAATACACTTGTTTGCAACTGTATGGCAAAGGATGAGGCCCAATGCCACAATCGATATAGTGTTCAATATGTGAATACATAGTTGCACTAAAGAAATGTAGATGTATTGCATTGGTCAAGATACAATAGGAAATTGTACTATAAGTAAATGAATAAACAAAATGCCGAGGCTGTAGAAAACCTGAAATTGGAAGTTTCATGCAATCTGGGAATAATGGATGTCATAAACGAAAACTCTTATCGGTTAAGTACTTTACACTTTAACTTTTGCAATGTTTTTAAAGTATATCTAATGAGCTTTTGATTCTAACCAAGCATCAATGCTTTCGACAGATGGGCATTCTCTATATATTAACTGTGGTGGAGAGGATTATGATCACATTGATGCAGATGGAAGAAACATTAAGTATCTAGGAGATTCAACAGTTTTGGGTGGTGCTGCAACGTTATTTTTACGTGACAAAGCTAATTGGGGATTGAGTAGCACTGGAGACTTCATGGACGACAATGATTTCCAAAACATACGTTATACCACAACTTTGCCATCATTGAGCATCTCAGTGTTGTACACTACTGCACGCCTTTCTCCACTCTCGCTTACTTATTATCACCGTTGTTTAGAAAATGGGAATTATAGTGTGACACTTCACTTTGCGGAGATCCAATTTAGAGATTACCAAACATACAGCAGCCTTGGACGGCGCATTTTTGATATATATATCCAGGTATTTAATGGTTGTTGAAAAAATTTATATCTATTCAAAAAATACTAATGCTATTCATACCCAAAAAATTGATCTTATTTGCTGTCGTGATGATATGGTTTCATTGGAACCATTAGATGAAGAACAAGTTCTAATATTTGATGGGGTCCACAGTCAATTCAAAGGTCATAATACATCAAGTCAACAAATAAGATCAAATTTTTTGGTCCAAATAGTATTACTCTTTAAGAAAATCTCAAATTTTGGGTACTCAAATTCAATAAACCATGTTCTTAGTACACTTGGACTGCATGGAAAATGGTCCATACTGGGTATTAGAAGGTAATACACTATCCTAACATTGGATTTTAACAGAGTTATGCTCGAGAACCCATGCCTTGGGACTGTGTGCAAATGCTTGCCCCTCTATTTTTTTGTAATATTAGACGAATATTGCAGGATAATTTGGAAGAGAAGGATTTCAATATTGAAAATAAAGCCAATGGCGTTCTTAAGGAATTCAAAAAAAAATATAATGCCAGCGTCACAAACAATATGCTAGAGATACGCTTCAGCTGGGCTAGCAAAGGAACAACTCGAATTCCTCGAAGAGGAGTATATGGCCCCCTTATATCAGCCATATCTGTAGATCCTAGTAAGTACTTTTCTAACTTTTCCTTGTCAATTTTCCTCGGAAGGGTTTATACGTAAAATTACTTGCATTGTGTATTTTCACTTTTGTGATATCTTTACATACTTGCAATTTTGATGACCTTCATGTGTTTGATAAAGCGATTGAATGAATATCTACTTGTGGGTGTTGGCTATCCTTTGGGAAATGGGAACATGGATTGGATTTGTGCTCTAATTGAACTTTATTGGGAAATTGGAGTGTAATAGATTTTAATTGGCCTGTTAATTCCACATTGAGTGCTAAGACTTATTCAACCCCCCTTCTCTTATCTAGGTCATTCATAGTCCAAGTACAATGCAGTACGCTCATTGCACTCTCACCCTCTACATGTCCATGGAAAGAAAACGATGGGAATGCAAGGATCAAAGTTCATAAGGCAAACTATTATGTTTCGGATAAGCAATTGGTAATGATAATAATGAGTCATTGGTTTAATAATTTAACATTTATTTTTCTATTTGCTCTTTCTCTCACACACGCAAACACAGAGTCTTCAACTCATAGCGACTAAGGGAGTACAAAATTGAATGGTCCACGAAGTATTAGGAACTATAAAGCAAGAATACTTCGTTAAGGTCAATTTATCTGTAACGAATACACATCATACATATCCGATAATTATAAAATATTTTAGATATTTTGTCGATACGTATCGACAATGCATATGCTTTGGATATAAAGTACCTGCACAAAGCAATACGTTTAATTTTTAATTTTAATCTTTGTCTCTTCCATACGATTTTGAAGACACATTGGTGTTTCTTAAGTATTACTGACTATCACATGTAAAGATCAAAATTGCATTTCGGTGAATTGTTTCGGTCACCTAGAAAACAAAAACGTTTTCACGTGTTTTAGAAACATTTTAACTCGTTTCGGAAATAGAATGAAAAAAATAAAATATTTAAAAATTATTTTTCCAAAATATTGGTCGAAATAATCAAAATATCTTAAAATATTCTGAAATAATTGTGCAAATATATTGAAATATTACAAAATACCTCGAAATATTAAGAAGCATCTCGAAGTATTAGAATTTCGATTTCATCACTAATTCGTTTCGGCCTCCTTAAAAACGAGAACGTTTTGACCGTTTCGAAACGAAATTTAATCCTTGATCACATGTTATAAGAATATAAAATATGTCAATTACACCATATCTCTTTGACAATAAGAATATCTAAGCAAACTAACTAATTAAATCTTGGTTCTGATTTCTTTAATTAGTCACATTTACTTTATGAATATACTATAATGAGATGATCAATACTTTTTTGAAAGTAAAGCTTGCTAATTTTTTGTACTAATGTTAAATATTTTATTAGAAATTATAATTATCAACCTGTCATATATGTATCTTGGGCATATCCGTATCCTTATTTTTCTAGTTTTGCGGTGTCACCGTATCCGTATCGTATCGTATCCGTGTCTCATACCTCGTATATGTATCTATGCTTCCTATATTAGGAATGAACTCAGTTGATGAGGAGCATTGAATGATCCAGGAAATAAATAAGATAGTACAAGCTTTCAATTGCTCTGATAGATGGTGTCACAATGCAAGTTTTAAATTTTTTTGTTGGTTGTGAAAGAATTGGTAATGTTGGATTGCATTCTGAATACATGATGTGCTTCATTTCTGCAATCCTAATATTAGCCACTTCTAATTCTGTCAGTGACACTTTGTTGTAGGCAGAAAATATACACTGATTTCATCTGAGTGGTATCGTATATTTATTTTTGTTTCGTATAGTAATGCCTTTTTGGTTCAATCCCCAGCAACAAAAAACTAGAATAATTTCATTCAGACAAGCGATGAACATGAATTCCAGCTTCTTATGGTAAGCGCATTATCTTTTCTCCTGTGGGCAGACTTCAAACCTCGTTCAGAAGGTGGAAAGAAAAGGACTGCACCTATTGTCATTGGTGTTCTAGCATCATGTTTCATCGTCTTGGCTTTACTGGCATTATTTGTCCTTCGGTGGAGAGGCTATTTATTTTGGAGCACGAAAACTGGGAGAGAAAAAGGTTAGGGCTTTAAACCTTCATGTATCACCGCTCCAGATAAAAGTACCATAAGTTCTCATCCACTGTGTGATGATGATGTCTTTCTCAATTGGTTTCACAAATAGAGGTTAAGGCACAAGTGTGTGGCTGGTTGTTACTCAAATTGAGATTGATTGAGATGTCTCATAATGCAGGATCTAAATGCTGCCTCCAATTATCTTTGTGTTTCGGAGCACTAATTTTTCGATTTATTTGGAGTTTTCGTCTTCTTCTCTCTCTCCCTTCCCACATATATATAAGGGTATATGTTACCACACATATACATATACTGTTGGGGATACTTGTGGAGAATGTGAAATTTATGGGTTTCAGTTGTTTCTTGTGGACCTTAGTTCAGTGAATTTAATGTTATTCTGATGCTTTCCACAAGCACAGCTAAGTATCTATTGCTCTGTCTTTGAACGTTGCACCTTTTGCTTATAAACTTAGAAATGAAATTTCTAGTAGTTCTTTACCTTGGAAGAGGGTATACCAACTGATTTTGTGTTAAGTTTCATAACAAGTCTGAGATTTGAAGGAGCATACATGCTACAGATTTGTGATAGACCACTGGTTAACAAAATACACCAAGATCATGACTCGTGAAAGCCATCTTCCCCTCCAATGGGTAGAAAAATAAATACTCAATTAGCAATGTGTATATACTTCACCAGTTAGTATGTAGGGAAACTTTTGTCTATACATCTGACTTACTAAAATTTTCCATAAATGTCATTGCCTAATGTTTGTATTGTTAACGGGAGATCTAAGGGTAGTGAACTGGGTGCAAGCTAGAATGTGGCTCGTTGCACCAAGTGTTTACCCAATGAATAATAAGCCTGGGAGATTATTTATTTTGATGTTAAGGTAGTAATTGCTAGAAATGTACAAATCTTAAGACTCTCATCTCTTTCTTGGGGTAGATCTTCAAGGAGTAGAGCTCCAAACAGGTTCTTTTACCTTACGACAGATTAAAGCTGCTACAAATAATTTTGATTCTGCAAATAAGATTGGAGAGGGTGGATTTGGACCTGTTTACAAGGTATTCAAGATAAACCTTGGTTACCATATTTCATCTGATTTTTAGTTAGATCGTTATTACACAAAATTTTTTGACAGGGTACATTATCTGATGGCACCGTAATTGCCGTGAAGCAGCTTTCATCTAAATCAAGTCAAGGAAATCGTGAATTTTTGAACGAAATAGGCATGATTTCTTGTTTGCAGCATCCAAATCTTGTAAAACTTTATGGGTGTTGTATTGAGGGGGATCAATTATTGGTGGTGTATGAATACATGGAGAATAATAGCCTTGCTCATGCCTTGTTTGGTAAGTTAAATTTACTTTGAGCATTTGATAAAAAATAAATTGGTACTAAGAGAACCAAAAAACATAGGTTATGATGGTTTTGGGGTGAGATGTAATTCCTCATATGACTATTGGTAGGGCCAGAAAAATGCCAGCAACAATTGGACTGGCAAACGAGGCACAAGATCTGTTTGGGCATAGCTAGAGGTTTAGCTTTTCTGCATGAAGAATCGAAACTCAAGATTGTTCACAGAGATATCAAAGCTACTAATGTACTGCTTGATAAGGACCTAAACCCAAAAATATCTGACTTTGGGTTAGCCAAGCTGGATGAAGAGGAAAAAACCCACATCAGTACCAGAGTAGCAGGAACCATGTGAGTTGCACCACATTTTTAGATATGTTGAGATAAAAAAATTTCTTTTTCCTATGCTTTTTCATATTTTATTTGCCTGTCATTTGTGTGTGTATATCTGTCAAGATCACTAACTTTTGAACCTTTTTTTTCCAAATTGTGCAACAATTATGTCATGCAGAGGATATATGGCACCAGAATATGCTCTGTGGGGTTATCTAACCTATAAAGCAGATGTTTACAGCTTTGGAGTTGTGGCATTAGAAACTGTGAGCGGGAGGCATAATATGAGTTTTGGGCCGGAGAACACCTGTGCATGTCTTTTGGATATGGTATCTCACTGATCTATGCTCTGTCAATCTTGCTTCAATTAATGATTTTTTTCTGGTTAGCATTCGCTGCATCTCCATTTATCCCTATACTTTGCCGTATGCATCCCTCAGCTTATTCTCTGGCTCTCTTAAATGGTGGTTGTCCCTCAGAATATCTGATTGTTGTTTTTGTATTATCAAAAAATTCCCACATATAATCAAACAAGTTGTGCAGTAAACTAACAGATGCTGTGGCTCATTCTTGAAAAAGAACATGGATGTACCTGGAAAGTCTAGGGTAAAATGCACGGAATTCTTTTAAATTAAGAACCACCCTAATCTAAATCTAATTGCTTTTGTTTTGTTGAACTGATCCTCAGAAATTCACTTGGTTGATACACCATTCAACTATTTAAGGATCACAATGCCCTAGACTAGGTATAAACTGTCATGACTGGTCATTCTAACTCTAACAATGCGAAGGATTGTGATTTTGGCTCATGAAATAACTGCTAATTCATGAACTTTATAACAATTTAGTTCTAAGGGATGAATTAAAAAGCAATGTCTACCTGATATTGTCCCATTTTACTTATGAAAAGCTAGTAATTATGACGAGTATAAATAAATGCACAATGAAAATTTTTTATTGTAAAATTTTCCCTTTCGTACACCACAGGCATGTCATTTGCAACAAAGTGGAGACCTGATGGAACTAGTGGATCAAAAGCTGGGGTCTGAATTTAACACGGTAGAAGCTGAAAGGTTGATTAAAGTAGCTCTCTTATGCACTAACGCTTCATCCTCACTAAGACCGGCCATGTCTGAAGTGGTGAGCATGCTGGAGGGAATGGCTGCCATTCCAGATGTGATCCCGGAACCAAGTAGTTATAGTCAAGATTTGAGGTTCAAAGCCATAAGACATCATAGAAGACTAACATACAATCAGAGTGCACAAGAAACTCAGGACAATCCTTCAACATCATCTCGGCCCTTGTCAGTGTCGTCCTCTGCATCTGTCCGCGATCTCTATAGCGTTAACATTGAGTCCTCTCCATCTGTCCACGATCTCTATAGTGTTAACATTGAGTCCCATATCAGGTCTAGAGCTGCTGATGACCATTATAAAACAATGGAAAGCCTGAGTTCACAAGAAAGCGAGATCCAAGTATCAACAACAACGCCTTCATGGGTCGGCTATTCCTCTACATCGGCCAGTGATCTTTATGATGTTAATATATAGTCCCGTTAATCTGAAGTTGAGTGAAAATACCCATCCATATTGTGTTGATTGATATTATAGAACAGCAACTTACTAGATTTTTCATATCATATATGAAGATTTTATAGCAATTTGGTAGTTTGAATGTCTGTATCAAAAGCTCTGTTGGGCACTACCAAAAGAGGAAGGAAAGGATACAACTAAAATAGAGAACTTCATTTTCTTTGTTTGGTTTTGTTGGAGAATCATGAGGAAATGCAATTCAATAAATCCAAAAGGGTGTGTGTGTAGTGTTTATTTAGTCCCTATTCTTTTAATTGTGTCTATTTGGTCCTTCAGATTCCTAATTGTTAGAAAATTGTGACGGTTCCTGCTTCAATGAACTACCAAAATTCGAACTCAAAACGTTTGGATTTATAGCTCGTCTTTATTACCACTTAAGCTATTCCTTGGAGATTGTCGAATGGTCATCGAGTAATAAAGCACTAAATATTTAAAACAACTACCATTTCATACTATTTTTGTGTACTATCTCAATTTAGATCTTGGACTTGTGGATCCCACAAAATATATTCAATATTTTAGGCTATATCAGTCCATAGTGCACAAAAGTAGTATGAACAACATTATATTCCCAAATATTAGTGGTATAACCCAAAATTGGATAAAATGAATTTCACATCTTCCCTGTAATAGTATAAGTTTGAGTTCACAATTTCCAATCAAAAGAGAAAACTTCAAATGTGGCCAAATCAATAGTTAGTATTTACAATAGACACTAATATGAAGGAGAGACATGAGAGGGAGACTCTCTTATGTATGAGACTATTCTTTATGGTGTCATGCAATCTTATCTTCTTTTTTTTTTTTTTGTTTCTTTTTATGGACTCGGTAATAACATGTTACATATTATTTATTACAAATTAAAATCCCTGTAACTCTAATGGGTAGTTCAAATAGTAACAAGAGATGAGATGCAAATGTAGATATCCTGAGTTCGAATCTTGACAAATTTTTGAGGCCAGATTATGAGGAATTTATACCATAGTCCTAAATAAATGGGTTGGGTATCTATATTAATTAATATGAGTTCTAAATAGTTGAGTAATATTATTCATTTTAATCAAACGGGTTAATATGAATTACAAATAGGTATCCATTGGGTTGAGTATGTATCTTTTTATTAAATAACACAAGTAATAAAATTAAATAAATATATTAATATACCAAAAAAAATACACACTATTACACCAAAAAATATACACATATATACTAATACACCAAAACATACACACACTAGTACACCAAAAACACACACACTAATATACCACTAATGACCCACAGACTGACCCATGACCCCGAGCCAACCATGGTCCATCAACCGATCCACGACCCATGGACCAAATCATAGTCCACAATTGACCCTGATCCATTAGGTGTGTATTTTTTTTAGTAAATGTGTTTTAGTTTTTGTGTTAGTATATGTGTGTGTATTTTTAGTGTATTAGTGTGTATATTTTTAATGTATTAGTTTGTGTGTGTTTTGGTGTATTAGTGTGTATACTTTAGTGTACAAATATGTTTATTAAGAATTTTAATTATTTTATGGACTAATTGGTTTAATTCAACCCGTTATAAACACAACTCATTTACTAGGTGAGTGAAAAATAAAATTAGATTTATTTTAGCCCAATCCAATTTAACCCAAACCATAACCAATTCAATCCACCAATTTACCACCCCTACATTGAACCAAAAAAATAAAATCTTTGTCAACATTTCTCTTTTTTTAATAAAATTAGACTCGTTATATATTTTGATACGTCACAATATATTTTCTTTTTCTTTTGGAGGACTTGGGCAACCATTTCACGAACTTAGGGTCAATCCTAGCTCATATCGCCTATAATTGCTATTTTCTAATCTCATTATATTGTTTTTAGAATATTTAGTATATCAAAAGGGAGGAAAAACATATATTCATGGAATGAAAAAAGATTAAAATTTTTTTCGAAACGATGCAAACGTTCGAAACATTTCCGTTTCAATGAGATCAAAACAAATCAGTAATTGAATCGAAATACTAATATTTTAAGATATTCCATATTATTGCAAGATGTTTATAATATTTCAATGTATTTGTATAATTATTTTGGAATGTTTCAAGGTATTTCAAGATACTTTGATATATTTTAACCAATATTTTGAAAAAATAAATCTTAAATTTTGTATTTTTTTTTGTTATGTTTCCAAAACGGGATCGAAACGTTTCTAAGACATGTTGAAATATGTCCATTTTTTAGTTGAATAAAACAAAATACCGAAACAAAATTTTGATCCTTTAATAAAACTCGAACCCCGACACTAAATGCCGCGGAATGATGCCCTTGCATTGGACGATTACTTTTGATGACATTTTGTTATATTACGAGGCCCAAAGTTATCCTTCATTCTAACACGAAATTGCACCAACCAAGCCCACATTTAGAAAAGAAGCATGCTATTTTAGGAAGTGTTGTTGATTTTGCAGTTCAGAGAGAGAGAGAACAAAGGTTTTATATGTACACAGACAGAACACGTTATAAAACCGAAAATTACATGACCGATTAACATGAATAAGGAATAGGTCAAATTGAGGTTAAACACGAAAAGAATGATTAAAATAGTATTGTAAACACAAAATAGGTATTTTATAAATTTTATAAATTTCTTTACATAGTATGCCCTAAAGTCCAAATTGAGAACATTTTATTGTGGATTCATAGATTGAACTTGACAGGTTTTACAACAAAAAATCCCTTGCTACACAAGTCACGTTACCGCATTCGTTTAGTTGAGTCGCCAAGAAGCGGTAATGAAACTGACAAGTGTATGAATGAAGTCGAAACAAGAAGTGTGCTTTGGAATTGTTCTTCACCGTTTCGTAGCCGGAGCAACACGTGGAGTACACTGGAAGGGAGAATGGTGGGAATGATTTCTTGCAATGCAACTCCAAATTTATGACCAACCTTTCTTTCAATAATTTTACAAGAAATAGGAGTTTTTCCATTGTAAATTCGTGCAGAAACAATTAACGAATTTTAACGAAATAGAAGATCTATGTGAGAAAATATTCATGTTCAAAAGAAGATCTCTCTTCTTCTTCATTCTCAATAGGAATGCATCAACAAAATTGTCCTTCCATATAGATCGTTGTGTGTCATGTGAGTTTTTTTTTGGTGAGTAGATAGCATCATATATGTTACTTTAGACTAAAATAATTTTTTGTTGACAAGAATATTGACACAAACACAATTCAAAATGACACGATATACAAATAACATGCCACGACACAAATTGACACCACTACCTAGCTGCATATGAAGTTTGATTTGAGCACGACTATTATAGCTAATAACAACCTTTTCCAAGAATTAAATCCCAAATGCTCCAAAATTGTGGTTGGGTAAAGTGATTAGTACAAGTGCTACTTAGGCAAAATATCTTAGGGTTAATATCAGCCACATCCCTGTGGATTACCATAAATGCAAGGCACACCACCAAACCTTCACCACCCATTGAACACACAAAACCACCACCAAACGGGCAGCAAACCACCATAACCAAGCCACCCAAATTATATATTTTCTAAGCTCAAAATAAAAACAAAACGAAACAAATTTTACCAAATTTATCACAAATTTGGGATGGAGGCCAACCTTAGTCGTGGCTTCATTGTGGCCATGGAATAATATTTTCGTCGTTGATTGGGCTATAGAAGCGGTTGTGGAATTCTACGACCGCCTCTGCAACCCAATCAACTACATTGTTGCTATGCGGAGGTCGGAGGGCCTCGAGTTGAAAAGTGCAAAAGAATTCAGAAAGAGAAATTCAAAACTTCAACCTCAGCTGTTAATTCTTGATTGCCATCACCACCATGAGATAGGAGTGCAAGTGTCATTTCAAAAACTAGTTAGTGTTCACATGTTTTGCACATGGACAATCTCATTACAAATATTTTGTTTAGCACCAAAAAAAAAAAGAAGTGATCCTGACATTACAAATAGCAAAAGTTAACTTAATAAGATTGTGATTTTAATTTTTTTGGGGGATCAAAGGTTAAAAAAGTTTCAATCTCTATTTGCTCAACTCAAAACAAATAATATTTTTCATGTACATAAACTAAAGCTTTTTCAAAATTTTCACTGTTTCACATAAAAAGCTCATAGGTCAAGTCATATCTTGTGTGTTACGCAAAAAAGTTGCTTTAGACGCAAACCTCTAACACAAAAATCTAATGAAAATATCAGATAAATTATTGTGATTATTGTAATTCAAATACCTTAATTTGACCTGCATTAAGCAAAAATAGTAGGATTAAACTCGATAAAATAATGTCTATATATTGATCATTCTTTTGTAAAATCTAATCATATTTGACATTATAAATACACACCCAATGACGAGATAAACTATTTAACACGTGGTTATGTCATAGATAAGACATGCTCACCTAAAAAGAAGATCGCAAAATCTTACTTCTATGGCTACTTGTTGTTTAATGATTTTGCAGATTTCTTGAGATATTTTTTTCAAGATAAAGTAAAAAAAAATAATGAAGAGTTGAAGTTGAAAGTAATTGTCCCACTAACATTCAATCAAATGACTAAAAAACTAAACAAGTATAAGTTCTTACTGCATTATGTTTGTGCACATAAATTTATGATCAAAACCATCAGCATACAAAGACAAGCTCACAAAGCTCTTTTTATTTTTGAATAAATTGTAAGTCTCCAAAAACATAAAAAGGGACAAAAGTGATTACTTAGGAATTGAGTTCTATGATGTAGACGGAGCACTTTCACGTCAAACAAATACATTAAACAAGAAAATTATTATATCAATCCTTGAAACCTAGTAGGAAAGAGAGAAAAAGTTTTAAAAGTTTTTTGTAACTACCATAAATTCTTGATTTTTCTACGTCTATAAAATCCAGACATCAACTCAGGAGAAAAGTTTCAAACTTTTTTGGAGTCACAAAAAACTTTTAGCCTACGAATATTAAAACCTCAAATAAATTTATATAGTTAGAATTACAAGACCAAAAGTTGTCGAGTCCATTATGTGGGGAAACAAAAAAGTGATAGTGTACTATTTTGTTATTAATCATAATGATATATATCAATGTCATTAGAGATAAAATCAATAATTAAAGTTGAAATGAATACATGAAATACCAAGTATATGTGTATAACTAATTTAAAGAGATGAAAGAATATGAGAGGAGTATGAAATTAATTGGAGAAGATAAAA